TTTGGTGGTGTTTGTTTAGTTGTGGTAAAAAATATATGTGTATATGAAAATATTTAACCATTTGGACATTTCTTACATGTGCCATCAGTTACATTTATCACCTTGTATAACCGTCACCCTATCTGATTACACATTTTCCATCACTCTTAGAGTTTCTGTTAGCAACTTCCCCTTCTCCTGCCATTGGTTACCACCAATAAATGTAAGTTTCTCTACATTTACTTAGAAATTTTGTACGAGATCATACAGTATTTCTCCTTTTGAGACTTATGTCAGTCAGCTGAATGTTTCAAGGTTCCTCCAAGCTCTGACATGCATAGCATGTTATTTCTCTTTATGGGTGAGTAACATTCCACTATGTGTATATAAATCACATTTGAGTCCCTTGTTGGTGAACATTTATGTTGTTTCCGCCTGTGAGCTGACATGAATAGTGCTAGTGGTTGCCAGTGTACAAGTATTGATTTGCCTTTCTACTTTCATTCCTTCAGTGTATAACCTAGGAGTGGAATTGCTGAGTCATTTATTAGTGCTATGTTTTGTTTTGAGGGACCATCAAAGTGCTTTTCACAGTTTAACAATCACACCAACAATAGGTGAGGATTCCAATTTCCCCACATCCTTGCCAACACTTGTTTCCTGTTTTTCTGATCATAGTCATCCTGGTGGAATTAAGTGGCATCTCACTATGATTTTGGTTTGCGTTTTCATAGTGAATTCTGACACTGGGCAGCTCCTGTGTTTTTATTAGCCTTTTTTTTTTTAAGTGTTTAATTCTTTGCCTTTTTTTTAATGGAGCTTTTTGTTAAGTTGTAGAAGTTCTTTATATATACTGGATAATAAATACTTATCCAATAGATGTTTTCAAATAGTTTCTCCCATTCTGTAGGTGCATCTTTATTGATAAGTACTTTGACATACAAAATTTTTTTATTATTTTATTATTGTGTGTGTGTGTGTGTGTGTACCGTCAAATCAGATCTGACTGGTACAGGAGGAGATTGTCCCTCCTTTCCCGGCAGAGCATCTGGTGGATTTGAACCGTGCGTCTCTGGGATTGCAGTGCAACTTCTTGCCACTAGGCCACCAGAGCTCCCCTGACACACAAAATTATTTATGTTCATGAAATGATATCACTTATTTTATCTTTTGTTGCTCTCCTTTTGGTGTCATATTCATGAATCCTCTGTCAAAAATTAAATCTTAAAACATTCACATGTATGGATTTTTCCTGAGTCTTTTGATTTTAGTTCTTACATTGAGGCCTTTTGCCATTTTCATATATTTTGTTTGATGTATGGGTTCCACTTTGTTCTTTTGCATTTGAAAATCTAGTCCCAGCACCATTTCTTGAGAAAACTATTCTTTCACCACTGAATAGAGTTGGCAGTTTTGTAGCAAATCAGGTGACCATAAATGTGTCAAAGAATATGACCTTAGGTGTCTGGACGTTAAATTATATTCTTTTGGTTATTTATTTCTAGTGTTGTACCAGTACCAGACTGCTTCAATTAATGTAGCTTTCTGTATTATTTGAAATTGAGAAGTGGTTTTTCCTAAGATGGCTTTGGCTATACAGAGTTCCCTGTCATAAATTTTAGGGATAACTCTTTGATTTTTCAAGAAGGCTGATGAAATTTTAATAGAATTATAATGAATCTATAGATTTTTCTAGGTAGTATTGACAACTTAACAATATTAATAAATCTTCCAAGCCATAAACACAAAATACCTTTCCATTTGTTTGTTGTTGTTGTGTGCTGTCAATTTGGAACTGACTCATAGGTGACCTTTCAGAGGCAATAAATTACACCAGAGGAAATAGCTCATCCTTCTCCTGTGGAGCAACTAGTAAATTTGAACCATGTGCCTTTGGGATGGCAGTACAAACAACGCTGACCATTAGGCCACCAGGGCTCCCTTTCCATTTGTTTAGGTCTTGTATTTCTTTTAGCAGTATTTTATACTTTTGATTGTATAAGTTTTTCACCTCTCTGGTTAAATTTATTCCTACTTGGATGGTGAAGAGATTGAGATTGTACACAGCTTTAGTTTGCTTGGCTCCATAGTCAACAGTCTTGGCTCCAGCAGCCAGGAAATTAAAAGGCGCATTGCCATGGGAAAGTCTGCTGTTAGGTACTTCTCCAAAGTGCTGAAGAGCAGTGGTGTCTCTCTGGAGACTAAGGTACGTGTGATACAGGCCCTGGTCTTCGCAATCACCTGTTACGCATCAGAGAGTTGGACAATGACCAAGGAGGATAGAAGGAGAATTGATGCCTTTGAGCTGTGGTGCTGGAGAAGAGTATTGAGAATACCATGGACTGCTAGGAAAACAAACAGGTTTGTCCTGGAGAAGGTTAAACCGGGTGGCTCCTTGGAGGCAAGGATTCTGAGGCTCCGTCTAACTTACTTTGGACATGTTGTGAGGAGAGACTGGTCCTTAGAGAGGGACATCATGCTTGGGAGGGTGGAGGGACGGCGCAGGAGGGGAAGGCCCTCTGTGAGGTGGATTAGGGGAGCTGGTGGCCTAGTGGCAAGAAGCTGCAACTACAATCCCAGAGGTGCACGGTTCGAATCCACCAGATGCTCTGCCGGGGAAGGAGGGGCAATCTCCTCCTGTACCAGTCAGATCTGATTTGACGGTACACGCACACAAAAATAAAATAAAAATATGAGGTGGATTGATTCAGTGACTGGGATAATTGGGATGGGAGTGTCAGAGACAGTGCGATTGGCACAGGACAGAGCTGAGTTTAGGGCTGTTGTACATAGGGTCGCTATGAGTCGCAGGCGACTCGACGGCACATAACAACAAACAATTTTCTTTTCATATTGTTCACTGCTGTAATATAGAAACCCATTTGATTTTGTGTGATGATCATGTATTTTGCCACTTTGCTGAATTCATGTATTAGCTCTAGTAGCAATCTTGTGGGGATTTTCTGTATGTAGGATTGTAATCAGAGTGAGATCAACGGTAGGATTGGCCAATTCTAACCCTCTACTAACTCCACAAAAGACAACTGTACCCGTCAAAAGCAGCCACCACACAAAAGTAATTCCCCTCAAGTCAGACATGTCCTCCCACACTCCTGCACCTTCCCGGTGGGTCCAGAATCCATTGCAGTGACCACACAGATTTCACAGAACCATACTCATGGTTATGGGTTTTACTAGGGAATTCACCAGGCTAGAATTCAGATTAATAGCAAGATACAGTCTCTCAGTCCAAAGAGTTTCTTAGTTAACAGCAAGATGCAATCTGGGCTTCTCAAACATAATCCCTAACAAGCTGTAATTCAGATTGTCAGAAAAATACAATCCCTCTATCCAAGAAGTTTCTTAATTAGATACAGAACCTCAATTCAAAGAGTTTCTCTATTAATAGCAAGATACAATCCCTGGCACAGGACTCAGGCCAGGAAGGACACACACTGCCTTCTCTGCTTCTTCTCTACTTCATGCTGTTCAATCTGTCCAATTCTAGCCAATCAATCCCTTATGGATAGACTAACATGCCCTCTTTGCATGAGCAAGAAGGGCTCCTGCAGCTGTTGATGATGTTTACCACATGTAATGCAGGCCACATGTTTACAGGGCAGTAAAGTTTAGGCAGCTAGATTAGATTAAAGACAGTAAATGGTCCAGGGAAGCCAAACTTTGAGCAACAGATCACACTGCAAGGATCATGCCTTCGATGGGAAGGGATGGTTTTACTCCTTCTCCCCCTCCGTTTGACTTTCATTTTTTCAAATCATTCTGTGTGTACATATACATAAAATTATAATAATTCTGTAGAATGTACCCTATGTTGAGGTCTTTATTTGCATGACATCATTCCATGACTTTTTATTTTTTAATTTTTTTCATTCTATGCCTTTTTTTAAAATAATTTTTTTAATTGATTTTAACAAAAGGTTACAGAAAAGTTAGATGTTCATTCATTCATTGTTGCACATTTTACCCTCTCTCCTTCCCTTCCCCCTCCCCAAGTTGACTTTTTTAAAAAGTACAAGTTTATTTATAAAATTTGAATATATTGTTTTCGAGAACAGATTCTTCCAATTTCCCTCACACTTCCACCCATCAAATTGTACAACTCCATGATTAATCCCTCCTCCCTCTGCTTCCAACCTCCCCCCCACCTTGGATCCTCATACTCATTCTACAATAATGATATTATACAATATTTGTCCTTGTGAAACTGAGTTCATTCACTCAGCATAATGCTTTTCCAGTCCCTCCCAAGTTAGGTAATAATTTACAAAATCATTGCTCCTGCGTGCTGTGTAGTATTCTGTTGTGTGAATGTACCATAATTTCTCAATCCATTCTTTGTAGTTGGACATTTGAACTGTTTCCCTGTTCTTGCAATGGTGAATAATGCTATCAGGAATATTGGTTTGCAGATCTCCATTTGTGCCTCAGTTCTCACTTTCTCAGGGTATATTCAAAGTAGTGGAATATCTGGGTCATATGGAATTTCTGTGTTCAGCTTTTTGAGAAAACGCCAAACTGACTTCCAGGATGTTTATACCATTTTTTACAATCAATTGGGATACCTTTTTTTTTTCTTGTCTAATTGTTCTAACTACTTTTAATAAAGAGAGATACTATTATTGGCCTTAAGTACTGCCTTTTTGTAAAGTGGTTAGTCAGGTGCATCACAGACTAAATATAAGTCCATTATAAAAGAGTGTTAATTACAAGTGATGTTGAAAAAGTTTAAAGAAAAATATCATATGTATTGGTATATTATTGATATCAGTATATATTGATATATAACATTGGAAGACATCTGTGATTGCATTGTCACTGACAAAGAGTTTGAATTTTAGTAGTGTAGTATTTTGAGTTTTAAATCTGAGTTTCCTCATTGCTTATATTTTATAACTAAATTTTCTTTTATATAAAATGTTAAGATGAACTTTTATCTGAAATAAAATTCAATTACAAAATATTTAAGATATATTTATTCTTTTCTTTTTTTTCTATTCCAGTTACGATGTCTAAAAATGGAGACAATGGTAAGGCACTTTAAGTCACAATTTATGTAGATTATTTTTGTTATCTTAATTGCCACCCACATACTTTTTATTTAGTAATATTTCTGTTTTACAGGAAGAAAGTACCTGTCTTTAAAAGTTAAGGAATTAGAAGAACTAATACTGGTTTTATTTTGAAACATTCATTATATTCTCATTGTGTTATTTATATAAATTGAAATAGCAGTTCATTTATAAGGCACCAGAACCCAAATGTCTTTGATTATAGTTACACAGGTATTTCTGTTTTATGTCTTCAGGGACTCCTTACAGTTGTTCATAGTTAACATTGGTCCTAACCTGGTACAGTTGAAGAGATGATTGTTGTTCTAGAAAAATTTTACATTTAAATCATTTAAGCATCTCTGTTCTTGTGGTGTACACATTTTACTGATGATTCTCACCTATAGGTTTGCTTAAAATACTATTTTACTATTTACAACATTAACTAAAATACCCAGACTATAAATTTGAGTTATATTAGTTCATTTTAAAAAAGAATTATTGTTTCTGATTGATGAAAAGACTGCCTAGAACAAAAATGTTCTCAATATTTTCCCTAGACAAAAGAAAATTTTAGAAGTGTATTGAGATCAGATTTCAAAAGTAAAATATGGCTTTATATACAAAAAATCCAGAGAATTTAAAAAACATTTAGAAATTATTAATGGACATTTACTTTTATTTTATTGTTGTTGTGTACCATCAAGTCAGAACCAAACCATAGCTAACCCTCCAGCTGGTTTTCAGAACCAGTTAATCACAAGGGAAGAGATTGTCCGTTCTTCTTCCGTACTTTTATTATTGTTGTTGTTGTGTACCCATAGACTCGGAACTGACCTATAGCTGACCGTGTATTTTCAGAGGCAGTTAATCTCAAAGGAGAAAATTGCCCATCCTTCTCCCACAGAGCAGCTGGTGGCCTTGAACCTCAAGCCTTTGAGATTACAACACAGCTTCTTAATACTAGAACACTAGAACTCCTCTTTTATTATTGTTGCTGTTGTTGTTATGTGCCCTTGAGTCACCTGTGACTCATAGCGACCTTGTGTACAACAGCCCCAAACCCTGCTCTATCCTACACCAATCTCATTGTCTCTGACACACCTACCCCCATTACCCCAGTCACTGAGTCAATCCATCTCTTAAAGGGTCTTCCTCTCCTGTGCTGTCCCTCCACCCTCCCTAACATGATGTCTGTCTCCAAGGACTGGTCCCTCCTTGCAACATGTCCAAAGTATGTCAGATGAAGCTTCAGAATCCTTGCCTCCAAGGGGCAGCCTGGTTTAACCCTCTCAAGGATGAACCTGTTCATTTTCTTAACAGTCCACGGTATATTCAACACTCTTCTGCAACACCACAGCTCAAAGGCATCAATTTTATATCATGTGTTGTCATTGTCCAGCTCTCTGATGCATAGCAAATGTTTGCAAAGACCATGGCCTGTAACAGGTGCACTTTAGTCTCCAGACTGACATCGTTGCTCTTCACTACTTTAGAGAGGTCACTAACTGCAGACTTTCCCATTGCAAAATATACATCTTTTCATTTCCTGGCTGCTGGTGCCAAGAGTGTTGCTTGTGGAGCCAAGTAGACTAAAGCTGTTTACAATCTCAATCTCTTCACCATCGTTCCTGATGCTGCCAGTTGCCCCAGTGGTGAAAGTTTTTGTTTTCTTAATATTGAGCCTCAATCCATGTTGAAAGCTGTGGTCCTTGAACTTCTGCAGCAAGCATTTCAGGCCTCCTCAGTTTCGGCAAGCAGGATTGCTTAACACAGACTTTTGATGAATCACTTCTCATACAGCCTAGCTTCTCGGATAATCTGTTTTGCATACAGGTTGAAAAGGTATGGAGATAGGACAAATCCATGGCATATACCCTTCCCAATTTTGAATAAAAAAAATTTCTGTTCTTATAAGAATCACTTTTACCTTATAACTTTGTCTCTTGCAACTCTTATTTTATCTTTCAAAGAATCTTTTGATAGTTTTTTTGTTTTTTACTTACAGGTGCAGACTTCTTGATTTATAGGGGTTATTTTATTTAAACCTTTAGCTTTAACTTAATTTGCATAGTTAAGATTTTACTTTTCAATGTTATTTATAACTAACTTATAGTTTTTATCATGTATAGTATGTGACCAGGCTTGCTATTGGCCCTCGCATTGATTTTAACTTAGTTAAGACCAATATCTTTTCTATTTACTACTCTTATAATAATTGCTCTTTGTTAGTGCTTGCTGTTATCCTGACATTGTGCTCAGAAAGTAATTTTAATATTTTTCTTTAGCTGAGAGGTTTTTTAAAAAGTAAATAAACATAATGTCTTTCTTTTCATAGGAAAAATGTATTCTTAAAATATTAAGGTTTTTTTTAATATTCTGGGAATGTATTGTTGCTGTCTGGTCTTAGTTGTCAGTAACTAGATGAACAAGAAGTGTAAAGTTTATGTTATATACAGATAAGAAATGGCAAAGTAGATTGAATCTGAAGATCAGACAAGAATAGAGAGACATAGGGACCCAACTCCAACATGCTTCACCAAAGGAAAAACAGTTGAGGGAGGAGAGGCTGAAGTTATTTCCATCTTGGCACTTTCTGATAGACCTCATTGAAAAGAAAAATGACTTCTCACTTTGACTTAAAGGCACTGGTATCCTGGAAATAGTTTCTGAAAACTTCTACAAGGAAAGAGATAAAGCAGAGGTTCTCAAATATTTAAGCCTCATGGTCCGCTTTGTACTTTTAAAAGTTAAGGATCTCAAAAAATCAATGGTTTATTTGCATAGGTTATGTCTATTGCTATTAGGAGTTACATCCACTTCCTAAACAACATGTGTCTGGAAATTCTATGAACTTTGAGAAACAATAGTTATTGAAAGGCTTCAGGTCTTTTGTTCATCGAGTCACTTTGAGTCGTGCTCGACTCGATGGCAATCAAGAACAACAACATGTCCATTGATATATTCTATATTAATTAAAATGGAAAAAGTTAAAGATATTTATTTAGTGGTAATAGAATGTAGGAGAAGGCTAGACAGTCTCCTTCCATGCGATGAATTGCCTCTAAACTCCTGCTGGAAGATCAGCTATGGGTCAGTTCTGACTTGACTGTATATAACAAGAATAGAGTAAAACTAGACTATTAGTCTAATGATAATTAGAATAATAAACCATTATTTTAACATAAATTAGATTGTTATAAAAAATAGCCATTTAAAACTACTTAATGAGAGAAGTATTATTGCTTTATAATTTTTTTAAATCTCTCTAATATCAGGTTAAGTCTTCTATTTTCTTCCACCTTACTTATCAGCCCTAGGGGATTTAACTGTACACTTTTTAGAGAATCAAAAAGGAAAAACATGGGGAGCTCTGGTGGCCTAGTGGCGAGAAGCTGCACTGCAATCCCAGAGGCGCATGGTTCAAATCCACCAGATGCTCTGCCGGGAAAGGAGGGACAATCTCCTTCTGTACCAGTCAGATCTGATTTGACGGTACACAGACACAAAAAATAATAAAATAAAAAAAAAAGGAAAAACATAAGTTCTGTCATGTAAAAAGCTTTTCTACTGCAGGTATTGTGAAAAGTAGTAAGGAAGACCAGGGTTCCCCAGACCACACATTTACCAGGCATTTATTAACTATTACAATTGTTCTTTTAATTTTATTTGGTAGATAAGAGGAGAACAGAAATTGCTGGTCCTGGTCACAAAGAACGTAAGACAAACAAGTAAATAAGCACAAGGTTTTTAAAAGTCCTGTTGGCATTCAGTAAGCTATACAGAAGACTGATAAAAGAGAGGTTCGGGAATGAAGACAGGATAGGCTCCACACAGTTCAAGGAGTGCCTTTAGAGACCAAACTTCACATGTCTCTGCACCCCTCCCACACCTCATGGCCTCATCAGATCCTTGGCTCTGACTCATACTGGTCTCTTTCCAGTGTTGTTGGATTTTGTCCACATTCATAGAATGTTTGTTTTTTTTACTTTTCTGGAAATGTCCATGGCCAGAAGCAAAAGACTGGTGGGTTAAAATAGTAGAATTTTGGGTGCTATTAAGTAAATTGAAAGTTTGCCTTTTTAAAATGTAAGGTCCTAGCAAATAATATTTGCATTTTAAAGGAAAAGTTGTATTTTTAAACATTTTCTTTTAGTAATAGGGTTTTAGTGGAAAAGTATAGAAGAGGTGAGTTATTGTATCAAATGAGGAATGGTCAGCTAGAACAGGGAGTGAGACAGGATACTGGAGTTAGTGACTAAAGGCTAATTACTTTTGCCTGAGCTGTTTTAATGTATTATTAAATGAAGAAACAGATTATAAAGAGAACTATGGGAGTTCCTAGATTTGGAAAGACAGTGCTGAGCAGAAGGTTGATAGTTTGAATATATTCTGCAACAGAAGAAAGACTTGACAACTGTTTTTGAGATTTCAGCCATAGAAAATCCTTTGGGGTTCAGTTGCACTCTTAACACTCTCAGGTCACCATGAATAGGACCTCACAGCAACAGGTGGTGGTTAAAGAAATGCAAGCACTGAGAGTAAGCACCACGTTAGGAGCTTTGGCTACAAGAGGAGAGATGATAAGATACCTTATAAGGAAATTATGATTGAAAGAGATGAATGCTTATTTTAAATAGAGGAGGATATTCATTTAGCATGTTTGTAGGTTGAAAGAGTCAGTGGGGAGGAAGGTGTGGCTATGTGATGCAGGAGAGGGGGAGGAAGGATCAGTAGCACTGGCAGTGACCCTGGCTTTGGAAAAGGTGACTCTGTAACAGAGTTACTGTATAGTTTTGATTCATAGCTGACCTTCCAGTTTTCAAAGACAGTAAGTCACATGGGAGAAGAATACCCATCTGTCTACTGAGGAGCAGCTGGTGGAGCTGAACCTCATGTCTTCATGTTGACAGTGCAGCTCTTCCCATAAGGCCCCAGACAAGGGCTTAAGAGGAGGAAAGCTAAATATGAAGGGACATTCCGAGTCAAGGGAAAGTAATCTAAACAAGTGAAGTCAAGAGGTAACATTTCCTAAGAGATTAATTCAGAGTGGGATTAGATATTTAAGGAGAGTTACGGGAGAACGGCCTAAAACAGCTTCCATAGGCAATAAGGTAGAGACTTAGCTAGAGAGGAACTTGGTGAACAAAGGGAAAATTCTGGTATTTGCCAAGAGCTGGGTTTTACATTGTTAGGTGTCATTGAATTGCGTTGGGAAAATCGGCTGTCAGGGACCTCTCCAGAGTACTAAGGAGCAATGATGTCAGTCTCGAGACTGAGGTGCCCCTGATCCAGGCCATAGTCTTTGCAATTGCTTGCTATGCATCAGAGAGTTGGACAATGACTAGGGATGATAGAAACTGAATTGATGCCTTTGAGCTGTGGTGCTGGAGAAGAGTGTGGAATACCCCATGGACTGCTAGGAGAACAAACAGGTTCGTCCTAGAGAGGGTGAAGCCAGCCTACGCCTTGAAGACAAAGATTCTGAAGTTTTGTCTGACATACATTGAGTATGTTGCAAGGAGGGATCGGTCCTTGGAGAGTGACATCATGCTTGGAAGGGTGGAGGGACAGAGAAAGAGAAGGAGACCATCAATGAGATGGGTTGATACAATGACTGGGGTAATGAGATAGGCGTGTCAGAGACAGTAAAGTTGGCAAAGGGTAGAGCAGGGTTTAGGGCTATTGTACATAGGGCCACTATGAGTGGCCAGTGACTCAATGGCGCATAACAACAACAACAGGTGCCATCAAATTGACTACAGTTCATAGCTACCCTATGAACAAAAAGTCTGAAACCTTGCCTTGTCCTGTGCCTTCATCACAATCACCACGTTCAAGCCTACTGTTGTAGTAGTCAGTCAGTCCAGCTCGTGAGGGTCTGGTTCTCTTTTGCTGACCCTCTCCTTTCCCAGCATGATGTCTTTTTCCAAGGACTCGTCCCTCCTGACAGTGTGCCCAAAATGTATGAGACCAGTTCCCATCCTCATCTTTAAGGACAATGTTGTTGTTATGCGCCATTAAGTCGGAACTTGTCTATACCTGACCCTCCATCATATTTTCAGAGGCTTGAAACCACTTGCCTGGTTTTTCTTCTGTGGAACAGATGGTGGATTCGAACCACTTGCCTTTGGGTTAGCAGTTGCACACCTTACCTCTAAGGCACCTGAGCTGCTCTGGCACACTAACTTGGAAGGTCAGTTCAGTTTCATTTTAAGACTTTGCACTAACAATGCTAAGTGACAACAGGAAAGAGGAACCACAGAGGTAGTGTCATACAGTGGCTATTTTTATGTTGCTGTGATATTGGAAGCTGTACCATCAGTGCTTGAAATCAACAGAGTTAGCTAAGATGGGCACATTTTAGTGGAGCTTCCTAGCAGATAAAGCTTGATGGTCTCCTTCTAAAGATTAGCCAATGAGAACCTTATGTACAACAGCAGAGCATTGTCTGGTATAGAGCCGGAACACAAGCCTCCAAACAGATCAGATCATGAAGGTGGCCAGGATTGACTAGTGTCCTTGTTCTGTTCTTTGTATAAGATCACCAACTCACTGGTAGCTAGCAAGAAAAAGCATGTGATAAAGGTCAAGAGGAATTGGAGATGATGCATTAGTCATTGTAGGCCACGGAGAGGCTGACCAAAAGTAGCAGATTTTGAGAAAATAGAATAGTCTGTGGAAAGAAAAAGAGCAAAAATTCTCTAAAGGAGGAAGTTAACATTTTATCAGGTACTTCCTTAGAAGTAGGGTGTAACCATTAAGGTAAAGGTTAAAGAAGAGGCAGAGGTAGGTACAGGTTTAGATATGACCTGGTGTAAACAACCTTGAATTTCACTATCAAGTAGATAATCCTGGCTTTATTATTTTGCAACAAGAGCTAACATTCAAAAGAAGCTCTGCTAGCCTGGTGTCAAAAAGGCTGCACTGCAATCCCGAAGGCACGCATTTGGAATCCACCAGATGCTCCACTGGAGAAGGAGGGGCAGTCTCCTTCTTTGCCAATAGGATCTGATTAGAAGGTACACAACAAGAGGGGTGCTGAGCATCAGTTTTGTGTATGTTAACTGAGAATACTTTACCAGTAATAAAATGTTGTTGTTGTTATGTGCCGTCAAGTCGCTTGCGACTCATAGCGACCCTATACACAACAGCCCTAAACTCTGCTCTGTCTTGTGCCAATTGCACTGCCTCTGGCACTCCCATCCCAATAACCCCAGTCACTGAATCAATCCACCTCATCGAGAGCCTTCCCCTCCTGCTCTGTCCCTCCACCCTAACAAGCATGATGTCCTTCTCCAAGGACTGGTCTCTTCTTACAACATGTCCAAAGTATGTTAGACAGAGCCTCAGAATCCTTGCCTCCAAGGAGCCACCCGGTTTAACCCTTGCCAGGATGAATCTATTTGTTTTCCTAGCAGTCCGTGGTACTCTCAATACTCTTCTCCAGCACCACAGTTCAAAGGCATCAATTCTCCTTCTGTCATCCTTGGTCGTTGTCCAACTGTCTGATAAACAAGTGATTGCGAAGACCGTGGCCTGTATCAGATGCACCTTAGTCTCCAGAGAGACACCATTGCTCTTCAGTACTTTGGAGAGGTCCCTAACAGCAGACTTTCCCATCGCAATACGTCTTTTAATTTCCTGGCTACTGGTGCCAAGAGTGTTGACTGTGGAGCCAAGCAAACTAAAGCTGTGAACAATCTCAATCTCTTCACCATCCATCCTGATGCAGCCAATTGGCCCAGTGGTGAGAATCTTTGTCTTCTTGACATTGAGCCTCAATCCATATTGGAGGCTACAGTCCTTAACCCTCTACAGCAGGTGCTTCAGGTCCTCCTCAGTTTTAGCAAGCAGGGTTGTGTCATCTGCATAACGCAGTTTGTTGATAGATCTTCCACCAATCTTGACCCCACATTTCTCCCAGATAATCTGTTCTGCATACAGATTGAAAAGATATGGAGATAGGATGTATCCCTGGCGTACGCCCCTCCCAATTTTGAGCCATGCAGTGTTCCCTTGCTCTCTTCTGACGACTGCCTCCTGGTCCAAGTATAGGTTTCGCATTGGCACGATCAAGTGTTCTGAGATTCCCATTCTTCTCAGAGTCAGCCACAGTTTGTTATGAACCACACAGTAAAACGCCTTTGTATAATTAATGAAGCACAGATATACATTCCTCTGGTATTCCCTCCTTTCAGCTAAGATCTATCTAACATCATCTACAATATCCCTAGTACCATGACCCCTTCTGAAACCAGCCTGGACTTCTGGCAGTTCTCTGCTGATGTACTGTTCCAGTCGTTTTTAGATAATCTTCAGTAGAATCTTGGTTGCATGTGAAATCAGTGAGATTGTTCTGTAGGGTTAAAACCAAGATATGTGTAGGCATTGCAGAGATTGGAATAGCAGTTGCATTTTTTTACTTGTTAGTTTACTTAAGTTGACTTCAGCTCATGGCAAACTTATGCATAGCACTAGAGAAATAGAGCTCAGAGATGAAGTGAATAGTCAAACATAATTAGCTGATAAAGTCTTTTCGTTTGGGGATACACGAATCATGCTGACAGGATTATTTGTAAGGAATTTCACAGCCAAAGCAGAAAAGAAGCCATGAGTAACATACCTAACTGACTGGCATTGAGATAAAGGAGAAACAGGAGAGATTGGAGGACTAGGAGGCCAGTTGACTATTGCCATAATCCTAACGAAATAGGCAAGAATTTATAAAATTTTTGCCTGGTCATCAAAAATAATGACTTGAACTCAAAAGATAACATAAAGATATAATTGAAAGTATTAGGTACTAATAAAATTCCAGGTAGGAGGAAAGAGCCACTCTTGCTTTGGTTATTTGTGAGGGTGGAGAGTTTGTTCACTGAGAAGAGGCAAGACTTTGAACTTTTACAGACTAGAACAATTTCAAAAGAAAATTTGGGAGACGAAGAAAGATTATGTTTTGACTTTTTTTTTTTAAGTAGCATTTTAAAAACCAAAAATCTTAAGGCAAAAATCCTCTCAGACCAAAGAAAGGGCATTCCTTTGGATTGAATGTCTGTTAACTTTATAAACACCAATTGCATTGTTTTTAATGTTTCTCATTTTCATAGCAAAACAGTGAAAACTTTGTCAGTCTTTAAAACTGGTAATTCACAGAAAGTACCAAACTTTAGGTGGTTAACACAAATGAGAAAGAAGAGAGAGGGGAGGGAAAATTCATAAATAAGTTGAATGATGGGAAAGGCAACATACAATAAAAAACTGGTTATCATAATTAATCACATTAATCAATTTATTTAATGCTATTAGAGAATGTGCATGAATGATTGAAAAACTAGTCTAAGTTGTCATTTTGAATGGAAACCCCCCCATATTTGAGGAAAAAGGAATTAAGAAACCTGAAAATTAAAGGAAATGTTTTCATTTTTAAGTTTCCTCGTAATTTAACAAACTAAAAGCTCATGTCAGGCAGCAATCTTTACTTATAAACCAAGCTAATGACTTTAAAGGCAGGAAGAGACTATTTCTTCATATTTAGTAATGTTACATCCTGCAGATAAACAAGTTTATATATTTGATATTGTCATTAAATTTAAATTTCTTATCTGATAAAGCCTCCTAATTGTGTTTTAATGTATTGATCTTTTTCCTATTTTTTGATCCGAATTCAATGAAATGTTGTTTGTTTTTATTTACCAGGAAAGGCCGTTGTTTACCTTGTGGCTTTCCATATGTTCTTTGTTATGTTTGTGTGGTCCTATTGGATGACAATTTTCACATCTCCCGCTTCCCCCTCCAAAGAGGTAAATTATATTACCAAATGCTTTAATGGATTATGGACTTGTTTTCCCTTATGTTACCTTTGTTAAAACTTCCTGTAATACATTTGTTTGTTTCCATTCATGAAAATGCCCAATAACACTCTGGCATTAGCTTATTTTCAGATAACAGTCTGCTAAAGAAGCTCTGTAAAGGATGGATTGTAGTGGGTTGAGTTTAGCTCTGCTGACACTTGCCTCCATGTTAGTCTTCTTCAAGGCAAACTTTCTATCACTACAGTAAAAATGTCTGAAGGGACGGAATTACAAAAAATACACCGTATGTTTTAGAAACATGACACATTTTCTCAGACCTGAGCAAATAAGCTGCAACTCAAAAGCCATTTTGACTGTGGGAAACCAACATTCTACCTTCCACTGCTTGTTACTCCTTGATATGACTAATGTTGTTTCTAGTTAAAGGATGTGGATAAAAACTGACATGGAATAAAGATTTAAGACCAGAATTTCCCTTTTACTGAGACATAGCAGACAGAATTCTTCCTTTACCTAGAATTTAGTCCCCTGAATTGGTTAAAAATTAGTAGAATTGTCTGCAGAGTTTGATTTTCTGCTCTGACAGGTTCCCTATCTCTTTGATCTCAGTTTCTGTGTCTGAAAATGAAGCTAACAGTAGTTCCTTCCTCTCTGTAGGATGTTTGTGAGATTTACATGTAAAGCTTTTAACAAAACACTTGGCATATGAGTAGATGAGCCCTGGTTGGTGACAATGGGATTAAGCTTTCGATTCTTAACCAAAAGGTTGGCAGTTCAAACCCACCAACTGCCCCATGGGGGAAAAGATGAGGCAATTTCCTAAAAAGATTACAGCTCTGGAAACCTCATGTTTCCAAACATGCAGTCCAAACCCAAACATATAGTCCAAACATGCAGTTCTATTCTGTCTTACAGGAGTACTGTGATTGGAATTGACTTAACATCAGTGGATTTGGGGACATACAGCACTCAAATGTTCAAATGATTGATGATGCAGATGTAATTATTTATCTTAATATGAAGTTAATTAAAATGTACTCAAAAGTATAGACTATATATTTGAAAATACCAATATTGGTTTAACTTTTTAGATATGAACATATATCTGTGGAAACATATAAATGTACATGATGAATTTTCACATACTGAGCATATATGTGTTAACAGTTTGTTTCTTGAACCCAGCTCAATAAACTTGCACTGTAAATTTATTAAACTTGCACTTTATACTCTAACACTTTCCCGCTCATGAGAAGCATTTTCTCACTTTGAGCAGTAGAGTCACACAGTACACACAGTTTATTTTTCTGGCTTCTCTTGTTAGATTCCCTGTGTGAGGTACATATTGTTACATATTGTGTCCTTGTTTAATGACCTGGTCTACTGGTGATTGGCTACTACATACAAGGCTGCTGGGGTCATTCTAGCACATCTCTTTAGGGGGACATATGTATGCGGTTCTTTGGAATTGATTGCTAAAAATGGAATGACTAGATCATCTATTATTTATGCATTCAGCATTTGAGACAAGTAATCTTTTACATTTTTTTGTACTGGGTGCTTTTTTTTAAGGGGTGAAGTAAAACCATAGATCAAACATAGCACATCTTAAAATACTTGTTGGGGATCCTTTTCCGGTACATACACATGATGATTCGGAGTTCATACTTCTGTATGACATGTGCCACCTACTAAACCTTGTTATGACATAGGCACACTACCCATATGACTTGAAAAAAAAACACCAAAAACAGCTTGCTGGGGAGATCTGGTGGCCTACTGAGTTAGGAGTTGTATAGCTAATACAAATGCAGGCATTTCAAATCCATCAGCTCCTCTGAGGCAGAAAGATGAGCATCCCCTCCTGTGCGAGCTATAGTCTCTGAACCTGCTGGAAGGTCAGCTGTGAGTTAGTTCCACCTTGACAGCACATAACAATAGCAGCAATATACTCTTGAAGCATTTGGAATCAGGCAACACCCTTAAAGCTACGGTACAAACTCCTATTTCCTAACCTCTAAATTGAAAAGGGCCTACTTCAGTGCCATATAAGTAAGATTATATATTTATTCATTCTCCTCCCCCTGCTCTAAAATTTGCACAGGCCACCTTCTGTTTAATGTGAAGCAGGAACTTTCTAATGAGTTAGAAATCTATTTTAAAGCAGAAGAGACCAATCTTTCAAATGGAAGTATTTCTGCCTCAGAAGGTTTTCTGGAGACAGTACCTACCTGTGCTGCTTAGATCAATGAACCTCTCCAGTCTCCTTTAACTCAAAGATCATATACTAGTCTTTCTTACTCCTTTACTAGGCTATTTACCTTTCTTTATTGCTTCTTGTTCCATCTAAATAATTGGAAATTTCTTATGTCATCAGCTTCTGATTGTAGAACCAGCCTTAAGCTAGATAATCCAAATACCTGGTTACTAAAGTATGATATTTGGAGTCATAGCTTATACAAAGCAAGAACATTTCTCAAGTTTTAATGGTATAGAACACTCCGGGGACTGTATTTTAATATCAGCATTGCTGGTAATTACACAATCTTGGAAAATTCCATAAGCTTCTTGGCGCCAAATCAGGGCTCGCTTTTCTATGCCAAGCTACTAACTTGTTTATAAGAGAATATTAAGCTAATACTGTTACTGATGATAGGGAAGCACCAATCTGTGACATTTTCATATTTAACTTCGCAGATAGGCAAAATTATTCTCTAAATAAGAAAAAGAACATTCCCTTCATGATTCCTTAAGTCTTTTTAAACAGAACCCTCTAAACAATAACAATTGAGACACCTTATCATCAAGAACAGCTCTCACACCACAGGCATATCTCAGTGTCTCATTTTATTATGCCTCACAGGTTTTTACAGCTAGAAGGTTTGTGGCGGCCCTGCGCTGAGCACTGTCTCCACAGCATCTACTCATGTTGTGTCTCTGTGTCCCATTTTGGTACTTCTCACAATATGTCAAGCCTTTTCATAATGCTGTTTCACACTTAATAGCCTACAGTGTAGTGTCAACTTTTCTATGACCTGGGAAATCAAATAAACTGTGGCTTACTCTAATGGTCTGGAACCGAACTCGCATTGTCTCTAAGTATGTCAAAGATATACCAAGCTTCTGCAAAACGAAGGCTGACGGAAACGCAAAGCTTCTTGTTCCATCACATAACTTGAGAGTCCTCTTTGACTGTTGGAGTGACATATAAATATAAGCAATTAAACAAGTACTTTTGTAGATAAAATGCTGTTTTAAAAAAATGAGCTTAGAGGCTGGTCATCTGGTGGGAATAGATAAAAAAATATGGAATTTTTCCTTGAAATAAAGTGTTTTGCCTTGACAAATCCTTAATAGTTCTAGAAAAAGGGATCTTACTGGTTAGCTTTTTAACACTACAACTAAGTCGTAAAACATTTTGACAAATTTAAAATTCTCATGGACTCTAGACTTGTTGGGGCCATGAAGAGTGGCTAACATCAAAAACCATTGCCCCAAAACAATCTGTAAAAAAAGTTAAGCCTGAAACATACAGCCTCAAGTCTTCAAAGTTAAATTATGGCTTAGATCCTCTAAGGAAAAAAATGTCTACCTTGGGTATCATATTCTTAATTAACTCTGTGAGATCAGATCAGCAACACAAAAAGAGAGTAGACAAGACCCTTAGGGGCCATTGAGTTTATGTTAATTGAGGAAGAAAAACTTATAGGGTTGTGTAACTGAATGCAGTTTATGTCTCTGAATTGTAGTTTTAGAAATGGGTGGATTTGTGTACATTTTTTATATTTTTCAACTACAGCAACAAAATTATATTTTTTTAAGAAGGAAAATTGCCCAGTTGATACAAGTATATATTACTGAAACCTTTGAATTTGGCTAGAGTATAGTGTGATGCTGTGTACGTGGGTTATGTTAGCACATTGAAGCTTGGGATTCCTTAAACAGCCTTTAAAAATGATTGGTCATCTGTTAGTAGCCTTCCAACATCAACTTTTTACTAATAGCAAGTTTTTATTAAGCTTTTTTGATGGAAGGTTGTAATCACACTGTGCACTAAAATAAAGATACAAAAGGATTTTGTTCATGGTCTGCCATCATTATTAGTATGAAGGACCAATCTTTTTTTTAATTTATCAAAGACATGTAGCTTCTGTTAAAATATGCTTGATTTAAAAAAAAAAAAAACAACCAACAAAACTAATTTAAAAAAAAAAATGCCTGATTTCATTTCTTTAAATTTGAATACAAGTTATCCCTTCCTAAAACAAATTGTTTGGGATCTTTTTTATGTTTCAATTAAAATTTTTTTCTGAGCATAAGAAGAGTACTATCATGGGATTACAAAATTAATAGTTTTCTCTCTTTATAGTTCTACTTATCCAGTTCTGAAAAGGAACGTTATGAAAAGGAATTCAACCAAGAAAGACAGCAAGAAATTCTGAGAAGAGTAGCAAGGGAGTTACCAATCTATACCTCATCGGCTTCAAGGAGTAAGACAGATGCTTAAGCTTTCCTTTCCAAATGGTTTTTAAATATATTCATTTCTGCCATGATGTGTTTGTATGGTTTGACTATTAAATGAATACTGTTGGTGCCAGAAATAATAGTGGAGGAACAAAATCTTCCTGTCCCCTGTGTCTCTTATGTTAATGATGCAGTTATGTAAATGTGCAGTATATAGGTACCCTTTACAGACTCACCTGTATTTATGAGTTTACTCTTTGATTCTCCTTTTAAAATTCATCTTTGGTCATGGAAAGTTTCAAGAATTATTCTTAGCAAACCATCATTTGAGAAATCTGGTTTGAATTTGAATAGTGTGTGTCATCAATGAATGATTTAAAAAGTATACTTAATCAAGAATATATTAACTTAGGAGAAGGTAAAAGAGGGAGGGGGGAAATGCCTGCAAATGTATTTGTTTGCTTTTGCTGTACCCTTTCATTTGAAGATTAGATAACTGTGTTTCTGAGGTGGTTTTGTTTGTTGTTGGTTGGTTGGTTTTTTTTTTTGTTGTTGTTGTTTTTTGTTTGGTTTTTTAATCTCTTCACATTCTGATTGAGACTCCCTCTAGTTCATTTTGGTATTATTTGACAATTAATAGTTGTCAACTTCACAGAGATGTTTAGAAAAAGAAATGAAGGCAAGTTATAGTCAAAATAGTTAAGCCTGCAAATCCTTCAACAGCTTCCTTTTAATTCTTAAATGTAGCCATCAGATATTGTGAAAGATGTCAGTTGATAAAGCCTGATCGCGCACATCACTGCTCAGCATGTGACAAGTAAGTGTGACTCACTCATTTGTTCTCATTTAAACCAAGCTAGGGAAATGGCTGGGGAGGAGAGGCGGGAGAAGAACATGTTCTGGAATTTGTACTTAGCACACAGTTCCTCTGCCATCATTTGCCATATCTATAGCCACATAACAGATACATTTACCGAGGTTGCAATGTACCCAGGAGTAATCTTTGGTAACAGTTCTTATATTAATTGATAGACTGTCTCCCCAACTTTTAATATGCTTCCTTTCTGTTTAATATCGAACAAGTAGTAATAGCCACTTGGAGAAAGATCACTTTGTTCCCTGCATTTAAAATACCATGACATTTATGCTGTTTTATTATTAATGTCGTTATTAAAACCTAACAAACCAGACCCAAAAACTAGGTGGCGCCCAACTCTTCTACTGGCCCTTCTGGTCCAGACCAAAAGAGATGAACCCTGAAGGACCTGGAAAAAATGCGGAACAAAATTCAGAATCATCGAAGTCCAGACTTGCTGGGCTGGATGAGGCTAAAGAGCTCTCTGAAAGTACTGCCCAGTGGAACTTTGCACAAAAACTATCCCCTGCAGTCCTCTTCTAGCTAAATAAGTGCTTGGAAGACAAAATGAAGAATAGGACTAGTGTTATCAGGAGCCTTAGAGGCTCTGACTAATAGTGACTCTGCACAATAACACAAAACACAGGCCATTATCAGCCCTGTGCCATTATTACAGTCTCTGTGTTTAAGGTCATTGCTGCAGGCACTGTCAGTTCAGACTGCTGAGGCCCTTCCTCTTACTCACTAACCTAACACTTTCACAAGCATGAGATCCTTCTCTGAGGACTGGCCCCTTCTGATGACCTGTGATCAGTCTGGAGACCAAGTCTCACCGTCCTCCCTTCTACAGAACACTCTGACTTCGCTTCTTCCAAGACAGGGCTCATACGTTTTTGTCACTCCATGGAGTGTTCAAGACGATCCAAAGGTATCAGTTTTTCAGTCTTCTTTTTTTATTGTTCAACACACATATGAAGCAATTAAAAATATCCTGGCTTGGATTGGGCACACCTTAGTCTTTAAACTGACATGCTTGCTCCTTGACACTTTCAAGAGGTTTTTGACAGCAGATATGCCCAATTCAGTACAGTGCAGTGGGTAAAATGCAGAGTATTAGGCATTTTAAAAAATCGTCTGTGTGATAAGAACAAAAAGTCAACAGTTAATCCAAAGCAAAGATAATAGATAAGAGGGCAGAGAAACTAGAGCACTGGTCACAGAACAGCCAGAGCACAGTTAAAAAGAAGGGTGTTGACATCACAATGACTCTAATGTAGAACAGCTTGTGGACAAGTTGTCAAACCTGACATTACTGAGTAAACCATCAAAAACACAGTAACATTTGAAAAACCTAAAAAACTCTAAAAGCTAATTTTAAAAAATGAACATTTGTCATTTTTACCAAGAAACTAATAAAGATTCTATCCTTTGCACATATATATTTTTTAATATTTTTGTCAAGAGTTGGTAGTGTGTTGAAGGAAGGGGGCCGAGTTTCAGAATCTTGATTAGACAAACTACTTAACCTGGGCTTTAAAACTCATTGCCCTCAAAACTGACCCTCCATCAGGTTTCCAGAGGCTGTAAATTGCACAGGAGAGGATTGCCCTTCTTTCTGTCTCCAAGCAGCTAACTGGATTTGAAATGCCTGCTTTTGGGTTGACAGCTCAACTTTTTACTCCTAGGTCATCAGAACACACTAACCTGGACATTTACTTATTTATTATATAATTTAAGGCTGTCTGTGGTCTAAGCTTACATAAATACAGAATATGTATACTTCAAGGAAAATATTTTAGAGTGGTTTTGTGGGGTTTTAAAAATCTTTCTACTAAAAGTACAGCAGTTTACCCATTAGGTAAAATTTTATAAAATCTGAGGTGGAAAAAAACCCCATTTTTGAATACTTCAGTGTTAATATTTTGTTCTAGAATTCTATTCTTATGATCTGCACACTTTAAAAATAACCTAAATAATATATTGCATTTTATTTCCCTTTGATAATCTGTATGGTGAAACTACCTAATGTACAAAGTATCAGGAACCTGATCTGTGTGTTAAACTATCTGTCCTTTGATGTGGTCCAAGACAACTGGCTTTACTGAAATGAATTCTCAATAGAAAAAGGCATCACCTCTTAACTTGTGAAATTAATTAAAGAAATGTGATGATATAATGCTTTATATATTGGGCTGCTTGTTGAATGGTCAGCATCTTCAATCTGTCAGGCCATGCCAAGGAGGAATGATGGTCAGTCTCCTGTCATAAAGATTTACATCCTCAGAAACCCAATAATGGGTCAATCATCATGAATCAGAATTAACTCAGAATCAGTGGGTTTGGTTTTGGCTTACTGTTTTTTAAGCATTGGGCCATTAACCAAAAAGGGTCAGCAGTTCAGATCCAGCAAACACTCAGAAGGAGAGAGGTGAGACAGTTAGTTGCCTTGCATAAAGCTTGATAGCCTTGAAAATTTACTCTGTCCTGTAGTAGTAGTCCATTAGGGTGTGTGTCAGGAATGTGTTCTTTCTCCTTACCTGTTCGATCTGTATGCTGAGCAAATAATTTGTGAAGCTGGACTCCATGAAGAAGAATGTTGCATCAGGATCAGAGGAAGACACATCAATAGCCTTCATCATGTGGATGATGCAACTTTGCTTGCTGAAAGTGAGGAGGACTTGAAACAAGAACTACAGTCTTAAGTGTGGATTATGTCTCAGCATCAAGAAAACAAAGGTCTTCACCATAAAGCCAATGGATAGCATTATAATAGATGGAGAAAGGATTGAAGCTGCCAATGATTTTATCTTGCTTGGAACAACAATTTACACCATTGGTTAAAGCAGTCAGGAGCTCAGGAGACATTGCATTGAACAAGTCTGCTGTTAAGACTTCTCCACATTACTGAGGAACAGTGATGTCAATATGAAGACTAAGGTGCATCATATTCAGGCCATAGTCTTGTCAATCACTTGTTAAACATCAGAGAGCTGGGCAATTAGGAAGAATGACAGAAGAATTGATGTCTTTATGCTGTTGTATTGGTTGGAGGAGAGTACTGAACATCCCATGCACTCCTCAAAGAACAAACAGATACGTCTTGAAGAGAATGCAGCCAGAATGCTCCTTGGGGTCTAAGATGACAAAGCTTTGTCTCACATACTTTGGGCAGGTTACTAGGAGAGGTTATTCCTTGGAGAGGATCAGCGAAAGAGAGGAGGATCCTTGATGAGATGGATTGATACAGAGGCTGCAGCAGTACAGGATAGGACAGAGTTCAGGTCTGTTTTCGGAGTTTCAATGAATTGTACTCCACAGCACCTAACAACAGCAAAACTCTAGTAACCCATCAGGAAATGTGCTGTTAACGGAAAGGAGTGGCTCTGAAGAAGAGGGGCAGTCTCCTCTTAGACGACCGGAGGATTGCCAATGAGCTGGTTTCTACTTGATGGTAATGAGTTGAGCTTGAACTGTTTACTGGGACTCGGAATAGACTTGAGGATAGGAGAGTTTTCTGAGTTGATTCTTAAACATGTAATTGTTAAAGGAAATACATTAAATCAGAATTATGAGGAACTAAAATTAGCATAATTTTTTAACATGAATTTTCTTGTGTTCATTTACTTTTTAGATGCATTCTTAAGATGGATCATCACTGTCCTTGGTAAGTAAAAAAAACCAGTAATTACTTAGGGGTGCAGAGAAGGGAAAGAGAGGATGTACATTATTTACTGTACTGTTTCTACATGTTCAAAGTCATTTTCATTATCCAGAGACTTAAGAGTGACCTATCTAAAAGGGTTGGAGGAGTTGGATGTGTGTGTACATACTTACATGAAAGGTTTTTCTTTTCAGGATATACTCTCATGTTCTTAATTAATGGATGGTATAGTTAAGAATTAACATTAAAATTCCAGATAAATGTCATAATTTTATTCTTTTTAGAATTTATTAAAGTAGAATGATAACGAGTAAGATGTGTACAAAAATGAAAAAAAAAGGAGAGGAGGGAACAGAGGGTACTGAGAGTGATGGTGGTAGAGGAAAATGATGGAATTGTGGAGTTTGGTGGGCAGGCAGAGGGGGTGAAGGAATTAGAAAAGATCTAGTGGGAACCTCAAAAGACAGGGTAATAGTGGCCGTAGATCAATGGTGATTAATCTTATAAAACAGTGTATGGGAATGATCATATAAAACACAATGTGAATGAAAGGATGTGTAGCACACAGTGTACATGAATGAAACACTAGACATACAAATTTTGCGTGAAAACCAATAGAAAATTTTAAAAAATTTAAAATAATAAGACCTTGCTCCTTATGCTTTGCAAATGATCTATTACTAATTAACAATGATTAAGTGTTCCAATCCATCTTGTTTTCACAGTGTGACTTTCTTTGTTTTTCTAGGGTGAATAACTGTGTGGGATTTTCTAATTATAAGTTTTTCCTGCAGTTTTTATTGTATTCCCTATTATACTGCCTTTTTGTGGCTACAACAGTTCTACAGTACTTTATCAAATTTTGGACGGTAAGTGTTTTTCTGTCCTCACTAGTACTTGGGACATCTGAAAAATAGTATCCTCCTAAAGATTATTTTACTCTTCATTACAGGAATATATACTTTATTCTAACTTTACTAGTTAGTATTTATAATAAATCAAATAACAAGAAGTATAAAATTTACCTTTGTTCACACTCATTTATTTTTAAATGAATATTAGACAGGACATAATTAGCTTCTCAGTGATTCACATTGGTTCAGCTACACACTTAGCATAATTATGGCACATTTAGGCTAGTGATTACTTTTCTCTGTGTCAGTGGGATTAATTGCTGTTTTACAGCAGTAAAAATGACTTCTCAAGCCCCAGCAACTACTAATGTGCTTCTTGTCTCTATAGATTGAGCAACTTTCTTTCTCATAGCAAATGCTTGAGAACAATCCAGATGTCCTTCAGTAAGGGGCAACTCAAACCAGAATATATGCTTAGAAAGGAACAATGTTTGGCCTTAAAAAATAAAGAGGAAGTTGTTTACAAGAAGCTGTATGAAGTGTCATTTAGATCTCTTAGTATATAAATGTAAACAGTATGCTACATTTTCTATAGAAAAATCACCTAGTTGTCTTTGTAAAGACTTCTGGGAGAATGCGTTAAGAAATTGCTAACAAGAGATGCCTCTGCAAAGTGCAATTGGAATGGGAGAGAGTCCTATCTTCGGGGAATATACTTTCCTTAGTCAGTTTTTATACATGTGTTTTAAGAAGTTTTATTGACATCTTATTTGACAAAGTAGAGGATCAAGAAAGGAGAGGAAGACCCTCAGTGAGATGAATTGATGTAATAACTTGCAACAATGAGCTTAATTATAGCAAAGATTATGAGGATGGTGCAAGGTTGTGTAGTTTTCTTCTGTTGTGCATAGGGTCAGAACAGACTCAATGGCTGTAACATCAACATTATATGAAGACCAGGAGCCTGGGTGGTTTAGTGCATTATGAGTTGCACTGCCGACTTAAATTTTGGCGGCTTTGAGTCCACAGGACAAGTGCTCCACAGGAGAATAGGATGCTGTTTCATTTTTTGCCAAATCAGAATGTAATTTTTAAGCATTTTCCCCCATTTTCATTTATATGCACTTCAGTCGGTTGTTAGTAGGTAGGTGCCATTGAGTCAAGTATGACTCATCGTGACACTGTGCAACAGAACCCTGTCCTGTCCTGTGCCATCCTCATCACCTCTGACACACTTGAGCCCATTCATTGTAAGTTTAGACAAATATTCACTCATGTTTTTCTTCTGGCCTTCCTCTTGCTTTTGGTTTTGCATTTAAATCTTTGAAAGGATAATTATGTGTTGAAAATCTTTCCCATTTTTACTTTGTAAAAGTTCTGTGAAAGAGAACTTTTATTCTAGTTTTCAGAAAACTGTTATTCTAGTTTTCAGAGTTAGAACCTGAGATTAATTAAAGAAGTAACTGCTCAAGGCTGGATACTTAATAGTTTTGGAAGCCAAACTTTATTCTTTGATCATAACGTGCTACTCATAACAGTAGTTGGAAAGTCATAGTTAAAGCCCCAAATCACCAAACATCAATTTTTACAGGAATGTATCTAACACAGTTCAGAGGGATTTTTGTCATAGTATCCTCATAATTTTGAAACTTGGGTGTGTAGATCTGGGGGCTGGTAGCACTGATGCTACCTTGCTACAAAGAAGAACCCACTGCCTATCTATGGTCTCAACTGCATGGATTTTGGCCTCTTCTTCTGAACTCAGTACCTTTGTTCAGCTTACCACTTGAACTGGCTTGAGCTGCACTGTGACTCCAGTTAAAATAAGAGATTTCAGGGCCAGATAAGAGATCTATTCATTTCTCTGTTTCGATCAAAGAATTAAAAATCTTCTCTAATTTTTAAAGTTAGATTTGTTATGAGTAAGGAAAAATAGTATATGTCAACCTTTTTTCTTCATTCACTCAATGCCTAGTTATTAAGCATTGACTACGTGTGAGGAAGCTTGGTGGTATACCACTTAGGGAGCTGCAGTGCTAACACAAAGGTGATTCCTCTCTGGTTGTTCAAATCCACCAGTAGTTGAGGGAGAAGGATGGGCAGGCTCCTCTGTGTGATTCACAGCCTCTGAAAACTCACTGGAGAGTCAGCCATGAGACCATTCACAGTGATGGGCGAGTGAGTAATGTGTCAGGTGGTGTTATAGGCACTTGTACTTACTTGTTTCACAGTAATCAAAGCAAAGTGTCCTGTCTTTGAAGAACTTCCTTTTGAGCAGGGGAAGGTAAATAACAATTATTCTGAATGTTAGAGAGTCAGTGCTGTGGGGAAATCAAAATAGAGCAGGGAATGGGCCTTGGCCAGTGCACAAGACAGTTATTATGGGTGCAGGTTTTGGTATTAAAGAGAATGATCAAAAGGTGAAATTCGAGCCCGGGTGGTGCAGGAGTGTGTGAATCCCTGGGAGGACAGCATTACAGATAGAGGATGTCTAACTGGAGAGCAGAGACAGGCCCCAGGTAGGAGGAGCAACCCAGGTAGGTTTGCTTGTGTCACACCTGGAGGCCTGTGGGACTCGAGTAGCGTGAATGGGAGGGAGATACAGCCCACCATAAGAACTTGGGCTTGTGCTTGTGCTCTGAACAGACTAAGGAAGTACTGGAGCCTTCTGAGCAGAGGGGTGATATAATTTGCCTTTTCAAAGGATAGCTCTGATTGCTGGCTTGGACATAGACTGTAAGTGGGTGGGCGCAAAAAAAAGAGACACTTGGTTAGAAGGCTGTTGAAATAATCATGAAAGAACCAAGGTTGCTAGAAGTGAAAGTAATAGGAAACCATCAGATCTAGTATTTAAAAACTATTACTTGGAATTATTCCCGCCCCCCCCCAAAGTTGACTTTTATTCCTTTGTTTTTAAAACAGAAATACAAATATTTGTTTTAAAAACTGAGTATAAACTTAAAGGATGTCTCAAGTATGCTTGAAGAACTTAATGTTCTTATCTGTTTTTGTGTTTCCCATGAGAAAATATCTTAGATGGTGTTTAAAGAGTAACATCTCAGTGTTCTTTCAAAACACAGAATGACCTCTAGTGTTGGATAATTCTGTCTAAAATTTGATTTCTTAACACATTGTCTTTGTCTGCACAAGCTTTGCCGCAGGAAATCTACAGAAAGTTGTCCAAAGGTAAAATGCATCATTGCCAGTGACGTCCTTGTGATCTTTTTTGTGCTGTTGATGATGAATATGTGTAACACTATATATGCATGTAATATGTATGATGAATCTGCATAATACTAATTTACTTCATGCAATGGAAATATATAAGAATCCTTAGGACACTTCAAATGTCTTGCAGTTACTCTGGAAGAAAGAGTAAAAAAGAAATGTTGGAATAATGGTAATGCCAAAAATTTTTTTAACTCACAGACTTCAACTCAAACAGGACAACCTTGTCTCTGGCTGGAGTAGGTGGTTTATGTTAAGAGCTACCATTTCTCCTTCTTATTAATAGACACTAGTTTTTTTAGGTTAAAACTCTTACTGGTTTGTTTTTGGTGTTGTTTTTGTCAATGTTGGATGGGTGAGCTTGAGCCTGCAAGGAGCAGGCTGGCCTTAGATTTTTCCTAGAGTCCTTATTTCTTTGCCTCCAATTCTTACGCGTCCAAGGACAGAAAACCACAGACACGCCTTTGTAGGAAAGAGTCTCTTACTGTTTATATGCACACAATCATAAGGAGGAAAACAAGACGCTGTTTTCACTTACTCATACCACACAGAAGGTGCTCTTATGGTATAGTGCATAACATACAGGTCAGCAGTTCGAATCTTCAACAGCCATGGATTTGAGTTAATTTTTAGTAGTTTAGGCTTTCGTAAATTTTTTTTCCCCTCAGACTTAATAATGACCTACAAAGGCCCTGTAGGAAGGACACAGGGGTGAAAAGGTTTGGAATTCCAGCATCAGAAGCCATGGACACCTCTGGTGTCAGTGATGTTCAGAAAATTGACATTAGAAATGGACAAGCTCTACCACCACTTTCATATATCACAGTTCCTAGTTAACAGCATGAAATGAAAATATTTTAGCATAGGTGAGAGAAAACCCTCATTTAGCCAGGATGTTGGAGAAAGCTTACATATATATATATATGAAAATTGTTAAGTGTAAGAATCCACTTTTTTATTTTATTACCGAAAGCATTGCTAAACTTTTTAAATGTTATTTTGTATGTGTGTACCGTCAAACCGGATCTAACTGGTACAGGAGGAGATTGTCTCTCCTTCTCCAGCAGAGCATCTGGTAGATTACATTTTAAATGTTTAAAACCAATATTTAAGGTGGCCCTTTCTGACCACCTAATGTAATCAGTCTTTGAACAATACCAGTTCTTTGCTTTTGCGGTTGTTGCTTTGAGATGCAGTATCTGATTTATCTTATTTTTCATGCTTGATACAAATTTTTTTAAGAGTGATAACTTTAATGAACACTAAGTAGTAAGGGTCTTATGCAGAACTTGTCTATCTTCAGAATTAATTGTTGGGTTTTTTTCTTCCCTCAGAATGAACTCTCTGATACCCGTGCAAAATTCCACGTGCTTTTTCTTTTCTTTGTGTCTGCAATGTTCTTCATCAGCGTCCTGTCACTTTTCAGCTACCACTGCTGGCTGGTTGGAAAAAATAGAACAACAATAGGTCAGTAGATTAAAATCATCATCATGTAGGAAAATGATTGTAAGAGAATATGAACTCAAGAGAGGAACAGCAGCCAAGTGATAATGAAGTGTCAAAAATTTGCTAAAATTGTGTCTGGAAAGGAAGAGAGGCATAGTGTAAAAGTCACTTATTTTGAAGAAGTTTGTGCAAGGGAGATTGACTCTTAGATTTTTTTTAAAATCCTGTACTGTAGATAAAAAGATAGAACTGATTATTGTTTTCCAAATTTTAATAAATAAAAAGCTATCTTCACAATACCAATCTATGAAAGAATAGATTTACACACCATGAGTATGTAATATTCAGATAGCAAAGAAACACTTTTAAATCCATAACTATCACTTTTATTTTAACTGAAGTATTGTATATGTTTATTGCTTTTGCCAAATAATTTATTTCAGAGTTGACTGAAATACATTCCATGATTTTGAGGTAGGATTACTGCTTTTGGATAATCCAGTCATTTCCTTCCTGTATCATTTGTCAGTGAAATTTATGTATTACCAGAATTTATGAAACTTGTTTATCACCAGAATTTTTTTTTTATTTTTTGTCATTTTTAAAACAAAAATATAATGAAAGAATTTAAGTTTTAAATAATAGGACAAACAGTTTCTGTGCAATGATAGTAGTCAAAACAAAATTGTTGCCATATAATTAACTCTAATTTAGTTATTTATGAGTTTGGATAATCAACCAATATGGAGATTAGAGATTTGTTGTTTTCTTAAATTATAATGTAAAAAACTAAAGGACTGCTTGTCACTGAAAATCATTGGCGGGGTGTGTGTGTGTGTGTGTGTGTGTGTGTGTGTGAATGACAGGAGAATTGGAATGGTACAAGTTTTAAGACCGAACACTAAAATCCTTTTTAGGGAGATTAAGATATTATATTTAGATAACTGTCATCTTCATTTGCTTATAATTCATGTTCATTATGAGGGTCTTACAGTTTCAGGTTTGCTTGGCCTGTATTTTAGCCAGCTTACCCTCCCACAGTTGAGCATCTTCTAGTTTCATTGCCCCTTCATCTCTTTTCATTGTGAATAAACTTCCTTGGATGAACTCACCCAATTTATATCCACTTCACAGAGTACCATGAAAAATGAAACATGTAGCCCTCAGACCTCCCACAATGTCAGAAAACTGAGATATTTTGTATGGAAAACTAGATTTCTTCTTTTCAGACTTTATCAGTTTAGTAACTGTTGAGCCGTTTTCCAATGAGCCATCAGTCCTTTGGAGCTGAGTACAGTCGTAGGTGGACATGAACACAGATTTGCTGTCCAGGCCCTGTGGGTAGGTGAGAGATGAGTGTCTCCTGGGAGACCCAGCTGTTTTCTGGGACCAGTCTTTTTCTTTTCTTTTCTTTAAATTATTTTCTGTGTGTGTACCATCAAATCAGATCTGACTGAAACAGGAGGTCATTGCCCCTTCTTCTCCAGCAGAGCATCTGGTGGATTTGAACCGCATACCTCTGGAATTGCAGTGCATCTTCTTGCCACTAGGCCACCAGAGCTCCATAGGGACCTGTCTTTTTCACACTTTATTCCCAGTAACCATATTAATAAGGGCATTTTATATCATGACTTAATGTACGTACATACATGCACGCACAGGAAATGATAATGTTTTATTTTCATTTCCACAAATAGCAGTAATATCGATTTAGTGCAGTATTCTCAGCTATTTTCTCTTCTAATTCATTAAATAGCATACTTGCAAATCTCTAAAGTTATAACTCATTAAAGAGTTTTAACACTTGGGAAAACATTACCTTAACACACTTCATTCCTTTACAGATTCAACCCCAGATTCCTGCTCTTTGTCTAATTTTCTGCTGCTACATTAACATTTTTGTTCTATGCTTTGGGAAGCTGTCATGGCCTAGTGGTAAGGAGTTGGGCTGCCAACCCAAAGACAGTTAGTTCCAACTTATCCGTTGCTCTGAGGGAGAAAGATGGACAGTCTCCTCTAATGCAATTTACAGCTTCTAAAAACCCCCTGAAGAACCCAGCTGTGAGTTGATTGTGATTCAAGGGTACATGCCATTTGCATTCTTTGTGGGTTATCCCACCCCCTCATCCCTTCTTCCTGTCATCTAGCTCCCCTGAGATTAATTTGTGATGTTTAATGAGATCCTTTCTTCACTGAAGGAGCCCTGGTTGGTGTACTCTGTTTTGTGTTATACGCTAACTGAAAAGTCAGTGGTTTGAATCCACTAGCTGTGCCAAAGGAGAAAGATGGGCAGTCTCCTTCCATAAAGGTTTACAGTCTTCAAGACCTGGAGTCTCCTCATGGATAGAGTCGGCCCAGCAAGCACTGGACTGAATTCGGTTTGGTTGAGTTTTGCCTCCTTCCCCAGAGTACCTGTGGTTCTAGTATTCACATTTCTGCCATCATCCCACACATGCAAGCTGATCCCTTTGAATCTGGTGGCCATTGCCTTCAATGCAGCATCCACAACTACAGAGTTAAGCCTTTAAATCATTTGGATCCGTAGATTCACTGAGATTTCAGATGTGAATATTCTTTTCTCAGACCACAATCTTTTTTGCAAAGATTTGACCTAGGTTGGATCAGCCACCTGGCTTAGCCATGGGTGAATTGCCTTTTGAAGGCTGCCAAGGGGCATCTCACTGACGCAGCAATTATTTGACCACAGATTTCTTTTAGGTTTTCTGATCAAGTTCCTCCATCATGTATTCAGATTTTCACTAGTCTTACCCATTTAGGGAGTGTCTTTCATAGAAAAAAAGGGATGCAGACACAAGTAAATGCTTGTCTTCTCACCTTTATAGTACCACACACAAAAATTTTATTCTGTACAATCTGCATTATGCACATGGCACAACCCTGCTTGCTGAAACTGAGGAGGACCTGAAGCACTTGCTGGAGAAGGTCAAAGACTGCAGCCTTCAATATGGATTGAAGCTCATCATCAAGAAAACAAAGATTCTCACCACTGGGCCTTTTAGCAGCATCATGATGGATGGTGAAGAGATTGAGATTGTTAACAGCATCAGTTTGCTTGACTCCACAGACAACACTCTTGGCACCAACAGCCAGGAAATTAAAAGACGAATTGCATTGGGAAAGTCTGCTGTCAGAGACCTCTCCAAAGTATTGAAGAACAACGATGTGAGTCTGGAGACCAAGGTGCGCTTGATCCAAACCATGGTCTTTCCAATTACTTGTTATCCATCAGAGAGCTGGACAATGACTAGGAATGATAGAAGGAGAGTTGATGCCTTTGAGCTTTGGTACTGGAGAAGAGAATTGGACTGCTAAGAGAATAAACAGGTTCATCCTGGAGAGGATGAAGCCAGGCTGCTCGTTGGAGGGAAGGATTCTGAAGCTCGATCTGACATACGTTGGACTTGTTGCAAGGAGGGATCAGTCCTTGGAGAGGGACATCATGTTTGGGAGGGTGGAGGGACAGCACAGGAGAAAGAAGCATTAATATGATTCTTAGGAAGCCTGTCTCTTTTTCTAGCCTCTACTCCCTTTACAGCCACGATTGAAGTAAGTGGCTGTGCGTCACGATGTACATCCTCCCTCATCTCTTACTCACTGTTCAAGACCAAGCTCAAATGTTACTTCTCAAATTTTTTCCCATCCTCGACCTTCAACACATGTCTCTTATCATTACAAAAAACAAATTAATTAATTTTACCTCAGTGTTCTCATTGACTGTTTTAGAACTTACCACATTGTTAAAAGTTTAGAAGATTGTTTGTTAGACTAAAGGTTCTTTGGTAGACGTTTTATCTCATTTATCGTTGGATCCCAGATATCTGTCCTCAGACGCATGGCAGGTAATTTATAAATAATAAAAGTTGTAAGGGCTAGAATATTTTTTTTACTTCTGCACCAAAAGACTCAAAGTAAGTTATCATTGTACATGCTTCAGTAGACCTTCACTAATATTAATCGATTATTTTGATACTGTCATTTTATAAGTTTGATGAAATGTTGAGATGTATGTATACTTCTCTCCAAGTTTTGGAACTTTATTGTTTAATTGGTACAAATATATATTGTTTTAAAAATACGTTTATACTTTTTGCATCAAAGGAAAATAAAAAAACATGTCCCATCTCTTCTATGATACTTGAATATGTTAACTACTGTGTGTTTGTCTGGGTTTTTTCCAATGAAACAGAATCATTCCGTGCACCCACATTTTCTTATGGACCTGATGGAAACGGTTTCTCTCTTGGATTCAGTAAAAATTGGAGACAAGTCTTTGGCGATGAGAAGATATTCTGGTTACTTCCAATATTTTCAAGGTGATTTGTTTGTTATGGTTCATGTGTCTGAAATTATGTAATCTATGATGGTCTCATCTATAGTGACATGTCTTAAAATTCAGAGAATGCAAGTATATCATTACCTTTCTAAGGGCTTTGAGAACGAACACTCAGTGTCTTGCTCAGATATAAAAGATTTTAGTTTTTTTACTTTTCGAATTATTATAATGGAGGGTTTGAACATACAGAAAGTAGAAAACATAAAGATGCTTTATAAAAAATAAGCCACTTTCACCTTCAAAATGAAAAATAAGTTACTTGAAATAAAGAATCATTAAAAACAACCATACAAAATATAAGCCTTTGTCATTGAGTTAATGCCGAAGGCAGCCTCCTGTATGCCAGGAGCCCTGTGCTCCAGAGGGCTTTCCTGCTTGAGAGCCTTTGAGCTTTTTGTATTTGTAGATTCCTGGCCTTCATTGAATTGGGAAAATGTTGTGTCATTTTGGGAAATGCTCTTTCTCCCTCTCCTCGCCTCCTAGTTGCTGTGTGTGTACGAAGTTTCTTTGCCAGGTGTCATCAGGTCAGCTCTGACTCCTAGGGACCTGATCCCGTGCCATCCTTACATCATGCTTGACCCCGTGGTGGCAGCACTCTGTCGGTCTTATCTGGTTGACAATCTCCCTCTGTTCTGCTGACTATCTGTTAACCAACCATGATGTTTTTCTCTAAGAAGTAGTCCCTTCTCATAACACATGCAAAGCACACCTTACCTCAGTGATGTTCTGCTTGTACAGCTTCCAAGATATATTGGTTTGTCTGTCCTTTTGGCAGTCCGTGATAGGAACTTTGTCAATATTCTTGCCAGTTGTCAATATTCTTTGTCAGTGCCATAATTCAGAGTTATCAGTTCTTCTTTAGTCTTCCTTATTCTTTGCCCAGCATTCACATGCAACTGAATCAGGCACACACTAGGATGCAATACGACATATTAGATTTGCCCAGGACAATACATCCCCGGGCTACTTCCCCAGTTCACAGTAGCCAATGGCTCTTACAGCTTAGGGGAGATACTGAACAGTGGGAGAAGTGATTTTTTTTGTCCTATAGGATTTGATGGAATGAATTCCTGATTCTTGCATTTTTATAGTTATCTTCTACTTTCCTCTGCTTCCTGATTCAGAGTTCTTCAAAGCCTAGCACTATGTACTTGCTGTCTGTCTTCTTGTATTTATTGGGAAAGATGATGCACTTATGCCCCTCTCTTCCTAGAATTTCCCATAGGATTTTCATGGCTGGGTTTTATTTTGTTTTGTTTTCAAAAGTAGTTCACAGGATGTTTTCCTGACATGCCTCTGTGGATACAAACCTTCAACATTGTGGTTGCAAGTGCTTTGACCATTTGGATCACTCAGGAGCCCACTTAGAATGGACTAGTATAAACATAATTTCAGTTCCCTCACTAATCAGGGAAGATGGCAGAACAAAAAGAAGAAAAAATGGTGAACATTTTTTCCAAAATCGCTTAAAGCTGTAAAAAACACAGATCCAGGAAACACAAATAAGCACAAAAAATGTGAAGATAATTACAAGTCTTGTAACTAAGAAAATCTCATGCAGCCTAAAAAGAGGTATTCGAAGAGAAATTATATGTAAAGTAATAAAGATGTAAGAGTGACAGCAAACTTCTGGTCGAGGGGAAGAGGGAAAAATGCAGACCTGAGCACAGTAAAGTGGTGTATAGAACCCAATACACAACGAAATGGCTTAAAAACCGAGCCCAGAATAACTTTCATAGACAAATGTTAATTGTATGCTTATAAAATAACTACCGTCTCAGTCACAAAGGGACAAATGCTATATGGTGCCACTGTTGTAGAATGAGGCTGACATCGGGATGGGGTAACACTGAGAAAAACTGGATGAAATATGTTTACGGCATTGAAGTCTTTGGGGGAGAGAATATTTTATATTTTAGGGCATTATGTTTATCGTAAGAGTACGGAATGAGGGTTGCAGAATGGATTATATTTGGGGGTTGGGGGATGTGTGTGGGGGATTGCGTACCAATG